GCCCTCCCGTCCCCCAGTCATAACCCATACACAAGTTGCCACCCAGTACCAGGCCCAATCGACCATAATAGTCACGATAAACCGTTGCGTTCATCCCTCCCCATCCCTCAAGCGTGGAAAACTAGTGGCTATAGACCCAGTGGAGGGAGGATTCGATAACGTGGACCGATAATGCACCAGATGAATAGTGAATGACGTACCCTGGGTAAATCGGGGGTAACACGAAGTATTTCGTTCGTTACCCGAGCTTTGTAACTCTACGCATCCAATCGTTCAATGCTGACGTTCACTGTCCCCATGGACCTATCTGCATATTTGAAATACCCAGGTGGGTGTAGGTCAATGCTCGCAGACATTTTTAGTTTTTTCACCCCTTTTTCGGGTGCCTACCAGCGGTGACAATGGAAATTTCGGCAATCACTCGAGCTTGTTAATTGGTCAAACCTACATGAAAGAGAATTAAAAAAATCTCTCAAGTGATTTTTTTCTTTACGCGTCTATTTTGCGGCGATCGCGGGGCAAAATGAACAGCGGTGAATAATGGACCACCAATTCAGGCATGGATTATGAGTTATTATGAGTTTTACAAATCTCTCATTTAAAATTTGAGAAACTGAGTTTATTTTTGTTTTGATTTTGAATTAGTATGACAGGTTGTGAAGGACATTGGCGCTAACCATCGACCGATTATGATGATGTTGATATTTTTTACATTTTTTGTGTCCTTAACATCGCTGGATATTTCGGTAAATAACGATTTTTCATTGATTTTAGATTGAGATTTAGATTATCGAAAGATACTTTTGATAAAAAAAAAAATAACTTTGACATCAGAAACTTTTCAGTCGTATTTGTTGAATCAAGTGAATTTAATCCAAAATAAACACAAGTCTCAGCTCGATGCCTCAGATGAATTCGATTTGACCAAGACACTCAACTTTCTCGCCAACTCATTCAGCTCTCACCAATTCCCACTCTCCCTGATTCACACACGTACGTTTTTCGATTTTACCAAGATCCTTTTTATTTCCACCTCACATCGCCTTTTTACATTTCTCCCAGCACTATTCCTCTCAATTTTCCAGCTAGCGTTGGATAATGCAGCCCAAGGCTCAAGAGGAAAGACAGGAAAATGAGAAGGTTGAACTAAACCAGATTTTTCCAAGGTGCCTGGAGACTATCAGATACCGGGTGGATAATGATATTGAAATACGTCGGGTTGAGCTCGTACGTTAATGCATTAGTTGATGGCCTTTTTCATGATTAAGGCTCCGATAGTTCTCACACTCGTTCCATTAATTTTAGAGCTATCGATGATTTCCCAGGGTCATAATTCCCTGGAAAATCATATTAAATCTTTGAAGAGATAGTGGCGGACGGGAATGAATATCTGTTGAGCAACACTTCTCATTCTTTCTCACTTGCTCTCTGACATCTGTAAACCCCCGGGACATCTATGGAACTTCGATGCTCACATGCAGCCCGGAGATAACTTTGCATTGACATGCCCCCGGGAGAAAACAATTCTTATTCGGTGTATCGATAACGGAATGTATCACATAACAGGAATATTTAGATTTTTCCGAGGTGGGGATAAATTTATGGTTGTGGATTCGTGGAAATGGGTGAAAGTTATGTTTTATATATTTTGTTTTACTTGGGGATCTTCATGACCTTTAAGGGCTTTGTGACCCTTGCGGATTTTCTGATCTTCATCAAACTCCTGACCCTTGAAAGAAATCATCTTCAACTTCTGACAATTGAAAATTCTGGGGAAAAGTGAAAGGGTCACAAGGGTCAGAATATAAGGGTCATACAGAAGACCGAAAATAAAGTCAGCAGATGAGTCAGAATATAAGGTTGAAAAAAAAACCGAACAAATGAAAAAGAATTTTTTTTTCATGTATTATATTTCGATGTTTAATAGTTGCCTCGTATAGGTCACGAGGACGGGTTGATACGTGATATATAATATATGACACAAAATATTTTTAGAAAGAATATTCAGTTCCCCGTGAATCTGACCACGTAATACCTATATAATGACCCTCACCATATCCTCGGAAATACAGGCTACTGATAAAATTCCCGATGCCCGCGATAGTAGCCCCTGAAATTCGAGTCATTACGGAAAACGATCAATTGTGAATGGAAATTGATTGACTGAAGTCTTTCCTCCCTCCAGCCCATTTTGACTACCGTTTCCACGTTTTCGTCCGATATCACCTATCCCCTCGATAATTACATTCTAAGTGTTTACCATCTGAACTGAATTTCGCCGGTGAATGTAACGCGTAACGATATAATTGATGGAACTATCCGTGTGGAGGGCTGCGGCTGGTGCTGCCCCACACGTTCTCTTCGCACATTTTCACGGGGCTATTCAGTAACCCCAGTGCATAAATCTATTTTCATTCGACTTGACACTACAGGGGGATAACTTAATTGTCGTTAGTCTATTTTGGTAATTGTGATCAATTGAGGTGTGTTTTTAATTAAATACGCTGAAAGGAATGTACAATAAAAATATTCAAGAGAGTAATTACTTCAGGTGAACGACAATGTTGATTAAGTTAGAGTCCCTCCCTGGATAAATTTTTCTCGGAAACCCTTATGAGGTTCGTAAGGGTCAAGAGATGGTTCAGAAGGGTCACATGAGGGTCAGGCATCATGTGATCAATACATTTATCCCACTTTGATAACCCTTACGCAATTTTTATGACGGTTTCATGACCTTTATCATCCTTATGAACCTCACAACACGTATCTGAATCGAGGATCCATTTTCTCTTGCAGTCAATTTTGTCCTATCACTCACTAATTGTTCATAACTCCAGATTACTTCAGTTAATCGACAATATTTATCAGCTTGGAAAAATCCCTGGAAATCAACCTTTTTTGGAAACTCTCATGAGGTTCGTAAGGGTCACGAGAAGGTTCAGAAGGGTCACATAAACGTCATAAATCATGTGATCAATACATTTATGCCATTTTAATGACCCTTCAATTCTCAATTCTCACTTGTTTCATGACCTTTATGACCTTTATGAACCTCACAACACGTACCTGAATCGAGGATCCGTTTTTTCGTTCAGTCCATTTTGTCCTACCACTCACTAATCTTTCATAACTCCAAATTACTTCAGTTAAATGCCAATACTGAGGATTCGGAAAATTTTCTGGATCAACTTTTCTTGGAAAACCCTCATGATGTTCGTAAGGGTCACGAGAAGGCTCAAAAAGTTCATCAGATTCGTAAGAGTTGCAAACGGATCCAACATCATAGAATGTATATATTCACCCTCATGACCCTCATGAACCTCATAATCCATACCTGAACGAGAGGTCCATCTGTTCACACAGCCCATGTAGCCCCACCATCGCTATAATTCGCGGTCAGACCCGTGATGCCACGTAATCGCTTACATTCTCAAACATCGCAAAGCTGTCTTCCATTTTCCTCTCAGCTACATTTCCGTCGGACACTATTCTCCAACGCTCTGTGCGATACTACAGTATATAAGTAACGAGTATCCACCAGTCACATAATTCCTAGGATGCAGGACATTGCTTTCGAGAAAGTAGCACACATTTCAACCTGAATGAAACCATCGACACGACCCACCCACTCACACCCACGTGTATTGTGCTGGATCTCCGAGTTTCGCATGAGCTCGGGGAAAAACTATTGGCTCTCTCGCCAACCTCACTCCACTTATTCTCGTTTTTCCACATTCCTTACACGTGTAGACGTCTTAACTCGCCTTATCCCCCATTGTCACTCTATTTCCCCCCGTCCCCACTTTAGGTTGTTTTAACGGAAAAAAAGGAGTGAGAAAACCGTATTGGGGATAATATCGTCCCGGCATCAGTTGGACACGCCTGTCGGTAATCAAGACACGTTAATCCCCTTGTCTTGTGTCCGTACGTAATGCCACACGGAGAGAGGAGTGAAATAACACCGCCCCCGCAACACCGGAAAATCGAGAGCCACCATATCCAACTTCACTAGCTTTTTATTTCACCTCCGTTTGGGTGAAAAACCGATGCCGGACTCTGATACAGCCCGAGAAATGTACCACAGACGATTGCCAGGGGATGGAAAGGGAAATTGAAAGGAGCGAGATTCGAGATGGCTTAGGTGGACGCAAAAGGTTTTCCATGAAACAGGAAATCGTTTTTCTGGGTTTGCACAAACGAAATGAGGATATAGAAAGATGGAAATCGACTGGGGCCTGGCAAATTGGGTTTTCATGGCTTTCGAACTATGTTGTGATGGTCAAATAAGGGTTGAATATCAGAAAATTCATATATTTTTCATCATTTGGTTCAACCCTTATGTGACCTGCACGATACTTACAAATTCGTGAACCTTAAGATTTGTTGTGACCCTCATGGATATCAGAGATTACTCACAGACTACTTTAATTGAATTTGAATTTCCCGCCAAAATTTAGCCGCTACATGCGTGTTTCCCTTCAAGGCGCGTTCTTCCTTCGTAACGGACTTCAATGACTATTGCAGTAGGGTATGAGGGCGGGTATGCGGATTGAATCATAAGGATCAAAGACTTCGAACTTCGACCTGCAAGGGTCATAAAGGTCATGAAAAAATCATGAAGATAAAATAAGTATTAAACATTACGAGATTTTATATTCATCCCGTGAGGTTTGGCCCTTACGATACTCACGAATCTTATAAACTTTATGACCTTTCCTTCCTTCTGATATTCATAAAGGAGCCTTCTTGTGACTCCTTTATGAATATCATCACCTGATTTTAGTGATTAGTCACAAAGTACTTAAAAAAAATTTAAATTCCCCGCTGAAACTTCGTCACTACATGAGTATAACGAGATTCATTGATTGTTTCAGCGGAAGACAAGGGCAGGTGTATGGCTCGAATCATAAGGGTCAAAAAGTTCAACTCATAAGGGTCATAAAAGTCATAAAAATCGATTAAGAATTAAAGATCCTGAGATTCCTATACTCATCCCATAAGATTTGGCCCTTACGATACTCACGAATTTTATAAACCTTATGACGCTTCTGAGCCTTCTTGTCACTCCTTCATCAATGTCATCACGTAATTTCAATGATTACTCACAAACTACTTCAAATAAATTGGAATTTCCCGCCAAAACTTCATTGCTACATGAGTATTCCTCTCCAAGGCGCGTTCTTCTGCGTTTCCTTCACCAAGGGATTCTCTGACTATTACAGAAAAGACTGAGGATAGATGTATGGATCGAATTATAAGGGTCAAAGTGTTCGGGTCACGTGACCTCAAGAATTCCTCTCAATTCGGATGAAATTCCCAGTATGAATAGTCCCTCTTCATTGACCAAACGAAATAATTAGGATATAAATCCTACGGGGGCACTTGATTAAAACTCGGCAAGGCTGTTTTGAAGTGGTTATATCCATGCCAAACTGGAAATTCAGCCGTATTATAATATACTGCATGCATTGTGTTTGTAAAACAATAGACCTGTTTGAACGTGGATAACAGAGTGAGAGCGGCTCGACTCCATACCATGGCGAAAAAGAGAAGGAGGCGTATGTGGTGGCCTCATCAATAATTTCACGTCGAACTTCCTAACCCTCCTTTGTTCCCCCATCCTGTCAGCTTTTCTTATTTCTGTCACTCTATTTTTTTCCCGATATTAAAAAAAACACACCCAGCAATAATGTGCACTAAAACATCGACGTAAAGAGCTGTTTCACTTAGAATTATTGCTGGGTTATATACAGTTTTGTGTCACAGGACGCAATAAAAAATGCCTTCAATAGAAATATAAAACGGCTCGTATTTCCTGAGAATTTCTTGAGTTGCTTTTTTTACCATTTCTATTTTCAGTTCTCTTTATGATTCCACGAAACACAACCTGTCACGTCTACTTGGTGGGTGGGATCAGACTGAAGAAAGACTATCGCGATGCAAACGGATTTTAGAGAAGACGAAAGGCAAAGTGCTCTTTGTTGTACCGTATCCAATGAACATTTCTTACTCCCTCTTTCTGTCTGCACAGTCTCCAGATATAAATGTCTCTCCAGGTGCCCTCATCCTCCCATAAAATTGCCCACAATTTTATGACCCTTATTTTATTTTTTTCGCAATTTTGTAATTGCCGATAAATCCTGTTATGATGGCAAACATAGACAGGGGCTATCGTATTGAAGGGCAGCACTCATCGGACGACTGAATTTCGGCGGGAAATTCAAATTGATGATGATGTTTGACTCTTATGATTGATATGATGACGCTTATGACTCCTGTCAAGATCAGAGCTCCGTTTGCCCCGCTACCAGCGCCCCTAGCACCCGTAAATGCACACTACTTCACTGCAAAACCCATCAGCTGTCAAGACAGAATACTCTCCAGCCTCCTTTTACAATCCACCCTCTAAATTCAAGATGCACGGGGACAGCTAAAAAGTTGGGTAGTGAAATGAGTTTTACGAGGGGGAGTTGTAAAGAGCATGAAGAAAACCGAGAAGAAAATCGAAAGTAAGAAATCCTATTATGAAGAAGACCAAGAGCGGAAGTCGTATTGAAGGAGAAGACTCATCGGACGACTGAATTTTGACGGAAAATTCAAATTTATGATTCTGATTGACTCTTATGACTTTTCCTATGGCCTTCACTGGACCCTCATGACTCCAGCCTAGATCAGAGGTCCATTTCTCCTGCTTCCAAGGCCCCTAGTGCTCATAAATTCACTCTACTTCACTGCGAAACCCATCAGCTGTCAAGACAGAATACTCCCCAACCTCCTTTTACAATCCGCCCTCTAAATTTAAGATGCACAGGGACAGGTAAAAAGTTCAGTACTGAAATGAGTTTTACGAGGAGGAGTTGTAAAGTACGTGAAGAAAACCGGGAAGAAAATAGAAAGTAAAAAATCCCATTATGAAGAAGACCGAGAGGGGAAGTCCTTTTGAAGGGGAATACTCATCGGACGACTGAATTTTGGCGGGAAATTCAAATTTATCATCATGATTGACCCTGATGACCCTTTTCATGGCCTGCACTTAACCCTCATGACTCCAAACTAGATCAGAGGGCCATTTCTCCCGCTACCAACGTCCCTAGCGTCCATAATTCACACTACTTCACTGCGAAACCCATCAGCTGTCAAGACAGAATACTCCTCAGCCTTTTTTTTCAATCCGCCCTCTAAATTCAAGATGCACAGGGACAGGTAAAAAGTTGGGTAGTGAAATGAGTTTTAAAAAACATGAAAAAAAAGGAAAATAGAAAAGAAGGGAAAATAACGAGCACCAGCTAAATGGTTGTTCTCATCAGAATCACGCGGTGTCCTTCTTTTCATCGCGGAGAAAACGAAGTACTTCTCATTGTATAGCTCCAGCATTTAACCGAGAAAGCGTTTAATTCTGTGAAGTAACAAACTTTACTGGACATCCTCCATTTTCCATCCACCCCCCTCTCTCCACCCCTTCCTTGAATTTTCTCCCTCATTTTTTTCATTCTCTCCGCTATCTTTCCGGCTACCTTTACTCACCGCATTCACGTAACATTTTTACGTCTTGGAAAGTCGGCTGTGTCGTGCCATTTTACGACTCCAGCATACCGCGACATTTCCAACTCAACGAATGTCGCCCCAAACTCCGTGATGTCTTCTGAGAGGGGATAGCCCCACAGTATTGCTGTTCTCGAGTGGCACGCGAGTGTACGCCAAACGATGGAAGGAAAATATTTTATTGAGAGTCGTTATGAGGGATATGAACTCAAAGGCTTTTTTTATAAGTGCAGAACATGGGAAAAAAGGAAGAACTAGCCTCGAGATAAAGCGATCTCCAAACGTTAACATTTTGCGCGGACAGATATCTCAATGGAGATAATGATATCTAATATGGTATTCTTTTTTATGTTTCAGTGAGTGTTGTTAATGGAGAGGTACTTCATATAATTAAAATAAGTCGTCTACATATGGGCGCTTATCTCTGCATTGCCAGCAATGAAGTGCCACCATCGGTTAGCGCTAGAGTTGATGTTCGGGTGCAGTGTAAGTATCGAAGTATCGATTTATTGAGATTTGGGTTAGGTGAGTCTGATTCAGGGTCAGGTACGGACCTGATATGGACCATACTCGACCAGAAACTCTTCTTGTGTGCCTGATCAGGCATATATGCCAACTTGGAGGACGGGCCATATAACTATTGTCGCGCCTGATCAGGCAGATGTTCATGAAAATCAGGTTCTGCGGAATTTTTAACACTACAAATGCGAAGGAAATTCATAAACCTGCTCAAGTACTCGGGCGGATACCCGATCAGGTGTTGTTATTGAGTCAAGTTCTCAAAGATAAAAAATCCGTGCAAGCTAAAATTTATCAGGTTCTTAAACGATGACTTTTATGACCAGACTTTATAAGAAACTTTGCGCATATGGCTGATCTAGTCACGAAAATCAGGTTCGGTTATTTTTGCTGTTTAACACTACAAATGCGAAGGACACACAGAAACCTGATCAGGCACTCGGTCGGAAAATCGATCAGGTGTTGTTGTTGAATCAGGTTTTTATAAACAAAATCAGTTCAAATTAAAATTGATTGAAAATTGATGACATTAATGATCCAAACCTGATCAACAATCAGGTTCCCGGGGATTATCCGCCGCATCTGTCTCCATTTCTCATCCAAATTGCCATCCATCTGCAACAAAAGCCCTGAAGGACCTATCACAGACTGATTAGTGACAACCCTCGGAAAATATAAGTTCAATTGCCATGACGTCAGTTTAGCTCAACTAAACTGCATCCCCGAATGATTTACTGTTCCGCGATATCGGCCGGATGACATGACACGAAACGGAGATGGTCTCTCCTACGATTTCAAGTCACGTATCAACGAGCGGCGGGGGGAGGAGGCCAATGCAATGATAGAATGCCGGCTGGTGATAGAGATTGGATGAGACCGAGAAAGAGAGAGCGAATGAAAAGCAGAATTGTTCGGCGATGGGAGGGGGCAGATATTCGGTAGATGCCCCATTCCTCGAACGATTGAATACCACTGGAATCACTGTTACAAAAACATATAAAATCTATCAAATCGCTGCCCCCCCTCTCCCTCCTCTCCCACTTCACCACTAGCTTCATCCGAAAAACGATCTGCAAAATTGTCATACGTTTCGACGATGGCCTTTTTTTAATCGTCTCCGTCGTATCAATTTTATTGGTCAACTGTAATTATCGTTACTGTTACCACCATTTCTCTTTATTGTTTTTTATTATCAATGGATTCTCCAGGAGAGTGAATTTTCTCAGGGCAACATCAAATGATCATAAAAAAAAATATCTTGAGGGATCTTTTTTTCCTCTCACTTCGGCCTTCTTGAGCGTTTTTCATCCCTCTCGGTCGCACTGAAATCGCTCGTGAGTACGCATACTGCAAGACGAAGAGAGGAGCCACGAGCAGTAAAACATGATTTACGTCAACTCGTAAAGTTTGAAATTACTTTCAGGAACATTAAAGGTCGAGTTGATCAGAATCGATTTATATTTTTGCTTCCGCCGTTAAGATTTTGTTTTTAATGATGTGAATTCTTTTCATGTATGCATTATTTATTCGTCATTATTCTGGAATTGATGAATTTATGATGATGATTTTATTAGGGATGACTAAATAATTAACGGAGGAATTAATCATCACGTTGAATTTTCATCGTGTTATGAATTGCAAATTTCACGATTTATTTTGAGAATATCGGTCTTCTGTTTGCAGTTCCACCGATGCTATCCATTCCCAATCAACTGGAAGGTGCTTACATCGGTCAGGATGTAGTTCTGGAGTGTCACACTGAGGCTTATCCAACGTCCATCAATTACTGGACAACAGAGGCCGGTGACATGATAGTCTCTGGTAATTTTATACTTAACAAAATCCTGAAAAGAATTTATTATCATTTTTATGTGGTACTGTTGAAAGAGATGTTTTACTATCGTGACGGTTACGACCGCATTTAGTGAGTGGAGAAGAACTACCCAGAGATACTTTAATTATCTTGAAATTAATTCGCAACCGTGAATGAAAAGGTGGACGTATCTAGTGTCATAATTAAGCTGGACCTGATTGAGGATCAGGTGCAAGCCTGACAGTTGGGGGATTGTCTGATGAGATGATCGGCCTATATACCTGATTAGGTTATATTGTCTATTCATCTGCATAGCAGGACCTAATCAGGCCTGCGCGAACCTGATCAGATCATATGCTATCTGACGCCTGAGAAAATTGATTGAGTTTTAAAATTCAGATTTTTTTGCCACGAGGTTCGATCAGGCCTTCTTACTGACCCGATCAGGTCATTTTGCTGATTTGATCAGGTGCTATGTAAACCTGATTAGACCATATGTCATATAGGCATCTGAGAAAATCGACTGAGTTTTGACATTCACATTTCTTGGCAACGAGATCCGAGCAAGCCCGCGGATTGACTTTATCAGATCTTACACCAACCTGATCAGGTCATATAATATACTGTGCCAACGTAAACTGGATTTATGTAATCAATATGTTACTCGTTGACCTGATAAGGTTCTATCCATGTCTAGTAGTATCGCATTTTACCTTGACCTGAATCAACAGACCGATGAACTGACCTGATGAGGCCCACATAACCTGATCAGGTTCGCATAATAATGTTATTCCATGAATCATTTACAATTAGACATGTACCACGTCCCCAATCCATTTTTAGGATTATAAAGACTCAGGTTTCGTCATGAACCTGATCAGTTCCGCATTCTATTAATTCCAAATTGATACATCGCCTGTCCCGATGATTGAAGGTTAATCACACCTCAACAATAATTCCGAGAATATTCTCAGTGGATTAAAAATTCATAGATCTGATCAGGTACATTCTCAAGATTAACACCACATAAACTGTCCTAAAACATGTCTTTCAACCCCGAAATAAGAAATTCAAAAGAACTTCGGTCTTACTGGCCCAGACTATTACCATTCGATTGCAGGTGACAAGTACGAGGCATTAAATACCGACAACGGTTACAACAAGTTCATGGTACTAAAAATAAGAAATGTCAGCCCCAAGGACTTTGGCTCATACAAATGCGTCGCCCAAAATTCACTGGGTGGTACTGATGGTGTGATAAAATTAGACGGTGAGTAGCCAAATGCCTGTACTGTAATCGATATTACCGAGCTACGTTATACCTGAATGGATCAATAGCACCCTCACCCTCTCGTCAGCTACTAAGGTTCAATTGTCCGACGGACAATGGATCATACCCCCTCTGATACACGTTATAACGGATTGTTGAGGATGAAGTTCTACTGGAAACAATTACATTCAACTCGATTAAACAATCAATGTATCAACAATGGGGATATTATTGATTAACGATAATGCTGGCTGACTAAAGAAATTGACGTTTTGACGGGTGTAATTTGAATTGCCCTCGGGGGTCTGTTATTTTTTTTTTTGCTACCCAGAAGTGAATGATCATGGGGAATCTGATATATTTAACCATTTTGGGTGGAGAGTCAGCGGATTTTTTTTTTTCGACCATCCACTTTAGCCCTCACCCCCTCGATGGTACACCGACGAATATAAATTGGTCGGAATTAAAAGTCCGACGAGCAATTTCCCCCACTGATTGCGTTATCGGGTTGTGGTAGAATAGAGAGATGGTTAGACGGGGTCTAACTCACCCTTCAGCCCCCAACGGCTCCGGAGAATGAGTGCCTGACCGAGCACGAGAATTCGGTTGATGTGATTCTTCATGTTATTGCTGGTGTATAAGGAATTCTTTGAATTAGCGTTCAGGGGGTTGAGATTCATTCTGTGACTTCTGTGGGTTTTCATACACGTGAGCTCGAAGTCATTTGGGAAAACAACATTCAGTTCTTTTTTTTTTATTTCATATAGACCCAACAGCACACGACCAATTACAGGATCAGATTCAATAAACGTAAAGGATAATAAAGAAATTAATCAAGTGAACAGTTGAAAATAATCCGTTTATCTAAATGTCGTAATAATATAAATGCTCGAATTTTTTTTCTTTTCATTTAATTACGTCATAATTGCTTTTAATCGGTTTGCACTAATATGTCTACTTCGTCATTCATTTATTCATTTGATGATTATATTATTTTTTACTAGGAGGCTACACCCCCTACTCGCTCCGCTCGCCAACACCCATATGATCTCTATATAACCCCCCCGATTCTTATTCTGACCCTCGTGGCCCTTATTTCGACCCTTAATTTTGGAATCTTAATTTCGAGTACAAAATTTTCATCACCAGAAATCGGTTTGGATATTTATAATATAGAGAGATCTAGACACCCTTATTTTAACCTATGTGACCCTTAGTTTCTGACCGCAATGACCCTTATTTGAACTCTTGTGACTCTTATTTATATCCTACATCTTACCTTTATTATAACCCTCGTGACCATTATTTTGCCGCTGGGGAGCCTTATTTTTTGACCCCCATGACCATTATTTAAACCCTTACTCTAACCCTTGTGCCCTTTTTTAGACCCTTAAGCTGACCCTTTCGATCCTTAATCTGGCCTTTGTGTCCCTTAATCTAACCATCCTGACTTTTATCCTGAACCTCATGACCCTTAATCTGACCCTCAGAGCCCTTACTCTGACCCTCATGACATCATCCGACAGTGGCGCCACGAGTGATGATGACTCATCTCTCCCGTTGGCCCCTCATTCCACAACCCAAAGATTTAAAAAGTTGACGGAAAAATACAGCAACTCGAAATAAAATATCAGCAATATCCTACTTGTCCTAATATAATTGTCAAATATTTACCACAGTCCGTAACTTCATCACCAAGTACTTTGATAAATGAATAAAGATATAATGAGGCCACACGCTTGGTTGAGCCAATTAAAAGTTTCTCCTGAAACTTGTATAATTCACGTTAAATGGAAATATCGGTCGTTTTGTGAAATGCTTGAGTAAACGAGGTTGAATGGCGGTAGGGGAGGAGTGGGTAGATGAGACGAGGAGGAAATGAAACTTTTCAACTGTTTTTCAATACTTCACTGGGTAAATGTGTTATGTATCGATTGTATTCTCATCTGTTGCAGAAATTCCAGCTCCATCAACAACAACAACGCAAGCAACGTACCATGTCACGTCATTGATGAAGAAAAATGGTAACATGTTTTTCTCATTTTCTTCTCAATCGTGCCTAATTTTTTTTCACTGTCCAAGGATTTATGGGAATGTTTGATTAAATTTGTTTCAGGGAGAAGTAACAAAAAGCATAGACAACGGCCAAATGACTATGAGCTGGAGGAGTGGCGTGATGCAGGTGAGTGAATGGCTTTCATTTCCATTAAAAATGTAGGGAATTAGTCCCATTCAGAGATAATTTATTATACTTCGAGGTGGTACACATTTTAAAAAGCCTCTTTCATGACTATTTCGAGGATTACTTCATCATGATCTGGAACAATTATGAATGTGGAACGTAGACACGCGCTTGGTGTCAATTGTAATCATGAGGTTCTTTCGAGAATTTAAGTGATTGGCGGAAATGCCCGGACATAATTCCAGCTCATTCACGGATTTATTTTGGCTTGTATTGAACTTCTTTCAAGGAAATCGTTTATGATTCATGATTCGGTGCAACGACATTCTTCCACCCTCTTCTCTTCTAGTCATCCTCCAAAAATTGGAGATTGTCATTTCCTTCAAACGACACAAACAGCCATTCTCTAACCCCCATGTTTGTCCCCTGAAAATATAATCACACAAATGTTTACTTTGACTAGCAGAAGATATCATTCCATCCACTGATTTCCATCGCCTTTCATAGACATTGAATGAAGCATCAATAAATGAACAGAAAAGGAAATCATTTCTAATTCACTATTCGTTGCAACACCCCTCAACCGTAGCCGATCACCCTCGTCCTAACACCTTCATTAATATTCCATTCATTATTCCACAGAGATAATCCTAAACCTACAAGGCTCTCCCCAGTTGTTGTCAAAAGCAGGAGACTGTCGTTTCCTTCAAACGGGACAAGTAGTCATTAACCAGTCCCACACGTTTCTCCCCTGAAAATATGATCAGACCAATGTTTATTATGACTAGCAGATGATATCGTTGCATCACGGACATCAACTGACGCTTCAATAGATGAATAGAACAGCAAATCATTGATAATCCATCACTCGTTGCAACGACAACCTTCAACCCCCTGTGATCACCCGCCCCCTGACAACTTCATCAACATTTCATTTATTATTCCACAGAGATAAGTCTAAACCTGTACGATTCTCCCTAGTCATCCTTCAAAAATTGAAGACTGTCGTTTCCTTCAAATGACACAAACAGCCATCCTCTAACCCCCCATGTTTGTCCCCTAAAAATATAATCAGATAAATGTTTACTTTGACTAGCAGAAGATATCACTCCATCCACTGATTTCCGTCGCCTTTCATAGACATTCCATGAAGTATTAATAAACGAACAGAAAAGGAAATCATTTCTAATTCATTATTCGTTGCAACATCACTCAGTCGTAGTTACTCACCCTCGTCCTAACACCTTCGTCAACATTCCATTGATTATTCCGCAGAGATAATCCTAAACGTACAAACTCTCTCCAGTTATCCTCCAAAAGTAGGAGACTGTCGTTTCCTTCAAATGGGACAAGTAGTCATTAACCAGCCCCAGACGTTTCTCCCCTGAAAATATCATCAGACCAATGTTGATTATAACTAGCAGATGATATCGTTGCATCACGGACATCAAATGAAGCTTCAATAGATGAATAGAACAGCAAATCATTGATAATCCATCACTCGTTGCAACGACAACCTTCAACCCCTTGTGATCACCCGGCTCCTGACAACTTCGTCAACATTTCATTGATTATTCCACAGAGATAAGTCTAAACCTGCAAGATTCTCCCTAGTCATCCTCCAAAAATTGGAGACTGTCGTTACCCGCAAATGGGACAAGCAGCCGTCCTCCAGCCCCACATGTTCGTCCCCTCAACCCCCCAGTGATACAGTTTACGCGCATGTCAGACCACCACCCCTGGCTGTTCACATTGTGTGAAAAGAGTGCAGCACCACTGATTTCCACAGCGATTTGTCGACAAAACGAGCCCAAGTGTGTTGTTTCTGCTTGCAGATTACGACAGGGACTACGACTCGACAAAGAGGCCGCACACCGATGGGGAATACTCAAGCCTTGGGACACGTATCTACCCAGAGCTATTACTAGCTGTACTACTCGTACCACTAATCTATCTGTCCGTAAGAAGGTGATTCTTGGGACACGGACGAGTCTTCCAGTTTGTATTCAATGAGCGTGAGGTTGAGGTACGTAATGCGTGACCACAACTCGGTGAAATCATAAATGTGATGCGATGTGACCACTTATCCATCATTTAATCCTCCTATTTTGCATCTTAGTGTGGGATTGATATCGCGCTGTTCAACGATCAGTCATGCTAAAATTATTTTCGTACAAAATTTAAGGGATATGTAAAGAATTCATGAACACAGCGGGAAAACTCGCTTATACCGTAGTATGTGACATATGAGAGGATGTCAGTGATTATAAATATGAGAGAGCATTTATATATATGAGATTATACAGAGAAAGATATATATACCATTGATTATTAAGGGAATAACTAGATATTTTGCGTAGATTGCTAAGTGCTTAGGGGTTGAATTTGCCCAATGCCGTCGTCGTTGTTTAAAATTAATCGAGGAATGATTGATGATTCATACTGGTGGGTAGGAGGGTACGTTTATGTTCGGATTTAATGACATCATGACGACGGTTCTTAACGATAAATTCTCTAGGATTTGTATTGATGTTTCTATTCCTTTTTGGGCTATTTTATTGAAAAATTTGATATGTTCAATGAAAAATACTCTATAGAAAAAATTGATAGAATTCTTCTTCTGCACAAATTATTTAATTCAGATATTTTCTATCAAAATTCCTCGACTTATATGTTCCAAGTTTTTTTTCAATGATTATTAAATTATGGGAATGTTTGAATATGAATTGCAATACAAATTCTATAGGATTTTCTACAGGAAGTCTACAGGAATTCTATAGGAATTCTACATAATTGTTTTTGAGTGACTCTATTGAAAAATTTCGCAGGTTATCTGCGCCTTTTATTTTTCCATTAAAAAAGTCTAATGAAAAATAGTCTATAGAAGAAATCGATAAAATCCTTTTTCTACAGAACTTACTGCATTGAAATATTTTCCGTAGAAATTCCACACGCACAATTATATGAAGTTCAAATGATTGCATTAAATACGAATGTGACCAGCCCCCCGGATATGCAACAACGGGCGCATAATTTTCCGTGATATTGAGGAAGGAAAAAGAAAAACTCGAAGAATAGAATTTATTTTCTGATATTTTTAAAACTGTTGTTGCTTGACCTCATATTATGCATGGATACTGAACTTGTTTGAATCAATAGTAGGCTTTTTCGAGGGGAAAAGAATATGATGAAAAAAAACAATAAATATGACGAAAACCTAATGTCTTTCTTGTGCTCTGATTTTATGTTATTCCATCTTGCATAAATACGGTGGGGGTGAGTTTGGGAATTGCAGGCGCTCATGGACTTTTGGATGAAACTGTCGTGGATAAATATGCATGAAAATTGGTGAAAGAGCCGACGGAGTGCGTCTCGAAGTGCCGGAAGTCACGACAAGTGATTTGAAAAGAAAATCTCGTCGGTTTGTTGCTCGTTTCGGGAGACGGCTTGACGTAACACGGAAGTGGTTTAGAAGTGGTGGGACTCGGCATTACGGGGATCGCACGCTATGAGGGGGGNGGTATTGGCGGTGTGTGAGTCTTTTTTGGGAATGTGGGGGGAGAGGAAGCCGAGGGAAACGAAGGATTTTCGTACGGGCACGCATGAAAAAATTTATTTATAGGAATTCTATTTTAAATTCTATTGAATTTCCACTAAATTCCATTGCAAAATTTCCTTTGTTTATGTCACAGTTATGTCAAAAGTGCGACTAATTGCTTTGTTTTGCGTGCAATAAGTTGCGTATTTTAACCTTATGCATTAAGCAATTACGCGATGCGATAAGTATCGTCTAGGGCCATAAACAGGCGACCAGCGGCGCTGGTGGCATGAATACAGAACATCGCGAGCACTACGCCATGACGAGAGCGGCGATGTGCAATGGCGTTCAGTCCCGTTGACGTTGTCGTTAGTGACCAAAGAGTATTTTTTGTTAAAGTTTATCATGTTCAACAAATTGAAAGAAGTATTATGTGAAAGTTGTGAAAGACAGTTTTTTATCGTTCAAATAAAGTGAATTGTGTTAAAAATGAGATGATTGTATTTCAAAAATAATCTTTCCTCTTTAAAATAGTTGGACTTTTCTTTAATCATAAATTATCAATAAACTGTAGAAGAGAGTTCTTTTCCATTCAAATAAAATTCATTATGGAGCTCGCATGTGATTATGGGGTTTGACAAATTATTATTTTTCATTCAGTGATAATTTGGTTTTTCTTCAGTGGGGGGACCTCGCCCCTTTCGTCCCTGAACGTTGTCGCACTTTTGACTTTAGCCCCGACATAAAATAGTATGTAATATTCGGACGATAAATGACAGGTTATAACCTGCCACTTATCGCTCTTATATCACTATTTTTGTGCCATTTGTATAGGAGATTATGCAACCTAACAACTTCTTAGAGAAAGCACTAGGTTATTCTCTTAAATTTTTTCTCATGCGTGGGTTGAACGGGAGAGAGGAGGGAAGTGATCATAAAAGTCAGACGAAGATGAATACTCTTAATTTACAAATAACTTCGTTCAAGTTATTGCAAAGTATTCGCTCTCATTTTAAGATCATAAAGATACTTATGAACATGTTTAAACCTTATACCCCTTATGACCACTCGCTCCTCTCCTCCAGCTGACCCTTCAGATCAATTATCTCCCCTCAACTCCTCTGAGAAATTTCCTCTAGTGCGTAATTGCTTAGCGAATTGTCTTTAAAAAATTGAGTTTCAAAATTATTGGTCGTTCTATTGTTACGCGTTCCTAGGAATAATTAAGTAATTTTTGTTGGGGTGAACGAGCAAGAAGAAATTACAGCAGAGAAAGAGACCATTTTTCTTGTCACGATAAATTGGCAAAACGAAAAAGTCTCAGTGATGTCATTAAACATAAAACTCCTCTCAAACGAGAAGAATATTCTCTCTTTTTCTCTCTGTAATTATACAAAGAGTGGAAATGTTACTAGTGAAAAAAATTTAATAAATAAAAATGTAGTCACGTTTCTTTCGCTGTTTAATTGTGACTGTTGATGACGGACGAGTATGAATAATCCCAGAGAATAGTAATTGGATAAATATATACGGAAAATTGTTGAAAAACCAGTCGTTTAACGAGTGAATTATTATTTCACTGAAAATTGTATATACGGAGATATAATTGAACCAACCAGCCTATGTAAATACGCATTTATCCCTTCCTCGTTAGTCAGAGTGTTGAAGCCCTTGTAATTATTATCGGAATCGACCTTTGGCGTGATTGGAAATATTAAATAAGTAGTCGAAATATGAATATATATGAGTCTTGAATGTTGTGAATTTATTCGAATCGTCGAATTCATTGTATAAAGCATGTGAAAAAGGGCTGAAAATCAGTATCAATTAGTTTTTATGATGATTTTGATTTGACAATCATCATCGGATTGACTTCAATATTTCATTTTTGCCATTATCATTTATTTAAGGTTTATTTAAAATATGTCAGACGAGATTTCATATTCGGACAACAGGGAAATTACGTTCACAAGGGTCATGAGGGTCGTAAGGTTCAGAAATTTGAACCTTACGAGGTTTATAAGGGCCGGAAGGGTCAAACTGTGGACCTTATGACCCTTATGAACATCATAAGGCTTAAAGTTGTGAACCTTATGGCCTTTATGAGCTTCATAAGGATTGAATGACTCATAAGGTGCACAAGATTCGTAAGGGGTACATATGGGCCATAAGGTTTACAAATTCGACCCTTATGATATTAATAAGGGTAATAAGGTTCCTTATGAACTTCATAAGTGTTGGAAGAGTCATAAAGTCCACAAGATTCATAATTTCTCCACCTGCATTGCAATACTCCTAATTAAAATTTCCCGTAATTACGACGAGCTAATCACTAAAACCTAAAATCATGCTTTCGTATAGATGATGTATAGTAGATCATAAGGTTCACGGAAATCCACTCATGACGATAATCATTCGGGTCAAGGACGTGTGACACTCTCGTGATGATTGAAATTCTCGAAAGTATTGCGAATAATTTTCAGAGTTAGGGTTAAAATACACAAATAATTATTTAATAAGGGTTCTGAATGAGGCTATATCGAGTGTATGTGAGAATTTGTATAATTTTTTCGATGACTGATGAAGATTTTCAGAGTGGTGAGGGTCACTGCCCTTCGATATCCTATGTTGATCATGAAATATCGTAATGTAAGAGTGGACAACAAGGGGTTAGTCATTTTGGGATGACTCGAGATGATTTTAGATAATTGACCCACAGGATTTGATCTATACGATTTGACTCATCGCTATGAATATTGAGATGGCAAGGTTTTTTTGGGAGATGAAGGGTTAAATGGGATAGACGAGCAGAGAGATAAAATTCAAAGCGTCAAACGGGAGAGACAAGCGGAACGTTCATGGGGGCCAAATGGACTTTTTGATTCTTCGGATCTCCCATCTCTCCCGTTTAAACCTTATGAGAGGTCACAAAGGGTCACGAGAGTTAAATGGGAGAGACGATACAAGGAAGAGTCATCAAAAGGGTCAAACAGTTCATACGAACCAAATAAACTGTTTGAACCTTTCGATCACACTCCCGTCTCTCCTGTTTAAACCTTACGATCACTCTGTTCGTCTCTCCCATTAGACCCTTCCAACTAACGCGCAAGTCTGTTCCGCCTGACCCTTGTGCGCAGAGTTAAGCGTCAAACGATCTTAAGGGTCAAATGGAAGAGACAAGCAGAGGCATCATTTGACCCTTACAATGACGCCGCTTGACCCTTCCATTTAACCCTCACAAAATAGTGTAGACCAAATGCAATAAGTGACACCAATTCGACTAACTCCTCGTCAAATCAAACAGAAAAAATATTAAAATTGTAATGGGTCTATAGTACTTTGGCGATTAGTGGAAAATTATCATACATATGAATCATTGTACTCATGATGTAGATATACTAAATGAAAATTTGTTGTAATTATTACATTGCATAAAAAATGGACAGATAATTCGAAAAAAATGAAATATATAACGATATTAAATAAACAATTGTACAAAATTTTTTCCTTGATATATCCCAAGCGATACCTTTTTCGTCTTTCAGTTTATCTTCGCCTTCATGCCTACATGATACGATCAACGAGGTCTCGTGTTGCTACGTGCCCCCCCCCCTCCCCCCCCACACACACACTCATCCCCGTGTCGCTGTATACCCAGTTCCATATACCGATATATCGGAGCGCAACGTGAAGTTTCGAGGCCCATTGGATTTGGCAAATTCGATTTCTCTCTTCGAGGCCCCCAGTACAGGATACGGAAATCAGCATTATCCGGCTGGACTGTGGTTCTGCTTTTCCAATAACGTATATATATATACTACGTATATATAGATATATATATATATAACGGTGTATATATATAACGTATGTACGTGATGAATCCACGTAAGGGAAATGCAGCGAGCGACGTAACAGTCTCCATAAATCCTTTTTTCGAGGAAGAAGTAATAGGATATTGGTGTTTTTGCATCATTTGCTTCTTTTTGAAGACATTTTAGAATTGTCATAAGGATCAAAC